TATATATACATATTGCGCATAAAAATAACTGTCATCCAATTAAGCGCATAATTATGAATAATTCGAGCAAAAGAAATTTATTTAGAAGATCTTTGAACTCCATTGAATCAAATCAGATATGCATCTTTATCCATCAGCGAAGCTTTTGCGACACTTCAGAAAGTTACGCCTCCAGTGTGTTTGAACAGTCCAGTCCACGTCATCCTTTCTTAACCTACATCTGCTTCTTGCTGCATATGACCTGCAAGTATGGCTTGTCCACAGCAGCACAAGTACGAGCCAGTAGCGCCTCCAGCTCAACATACCTGGCCTCCTGATTTGATCTCATTTTTTCTATGTTTCAATGTACTTTTCTTCATTAAACCATGTAGGATCGAGGGAAAGGCCGTCACTCCCCAAGACAGATGACGTATTCGGAATGCGCCAAATCGAATTGGACCACGTTGCGCGGCCGCGCTCGTAGGTCGCGGTTTTCGCGTTAGAGCATCTTAGCCAACTGGACTTGCACGTATAACGGTTACGACTTCGCTTTTTGCACGTTGATGTCACTACAATGCGCGTTCGTTCTCTCTTTCTTGGAGTAGATTTGTTGGGCATCTCGAGTACGCCGACATATTGCATAGGTACGCCATTGCTTAGACAATCCCCTAACTCAATTAAATCGGCCGACTGAGTAAGTTCGCGGTTGCGTTAGGCGTTCTACAGTTACCGACATCGACGAATTTCTATTTCATTTTCCCCCTCCATATTCAATTGATCCTAATGCCAGAGTTGAATAATTAAGAACAGAAGCGAAAACTGCAGAATGAAACGCGCAGAGGTTAGACAGTCGATGGAGTACTATCCTTAGTCAATCGACTTGCAAGTGAAGGAGTACTCTATAAAGCTGTGCTTAAGATTAACGATGTTACGATCCGGAATTGTAGTCCAACCTAGTGTACGCTTGAATTTGTCCACTAATCAGCGCTTGCCAGAAAAGTAGCAAATACACAGCCTGTTCTTAGTGACAGAAGACATGATATATTAAAGCATGCAGAGAAACCAAGTGAATTCTCGAGCGCATTAATCAACAAACAACATCAAAATAAACTAGTACAAAAGTTCAAAAGCAGTAAGATTTCTATCAGAAAGAAATGTTTCATGTTTCATTCAATCTCACCTTTCCTTTTCGTTCCTTATTTTAGTTTCAATCAGTTTACTGTACATTTCCAAATCGATGCTCTCGACGATTTAAAAACTATGAAAGAAACGAATTGTGAGATACGCTTCATCTAAAGTTCAAATATGTCATCAATGATCTTATGTAACAGTGAATGTTTGACTTATTTGAGATACACAGCAATCTACTCCAAGAAAGATATGATAACACGCGCATTACAATGAGCGCCATCAAAATGCAAAATCTTGAACGTGTTTACGTGTTATGCGTGCAAGTCTGATGTGAGTGACGTGCTCTAACGCGGAAATCGCG